TGTAACAGGCCGTGGAGGCCCGTAGGGTTGTGAGACGTCGAGGATGTCACATTTTCTCTAGACAGTCGGCTCATAGATGGCGGCAAGGTTGTCAGCCTTACGCCCCGGCAGCCCTTTACCCCCAACAATATTACTGGTACTCATTTCTGTTAGAGGCTGAGTCAACCCCAGGGCCAAAGTGCGGCTGGAAGGGTTAGGTAAATTGAAAAATCCACCTCGGGATTCGAACTCGCGACCTTCCGGCTTGTAGCACAGTGCCTCAACCAACTATGCTACCGCGTGCCCCCTCACTCCTAATTTAATATTTGGAAATTCGGGTTTATTCTCATAACATATTGTGACGTATTGGCTCTGTGCGGGAACTGTTGAGCCACAGAGGCCTCGGGGCACGCGCGCCACGTGAGAGTTGCGGATTGTATCGGCGCGTTGCTAGGCGACGACTCTGTGAACGCTTGGATGGCGCAACAGGAAGTGAGAGTGACTTCACATACCCCCACTCATCCCGTTGCTGCGTGACGCTCGGTAAACGCCCGACAACAATACCTGATATCTGTTGCCAAGCAGCAATGTGTTTTCTGTGTGGTCCGTGTACAGGTATAAGGAGCCGCGAACACTATTCAGCCAGTATTCAGTATGAGTATGAGTTACCAGGAGTTGAGAATGGCGGAAGTAGGCGAAGCGGATCAAGGAATACAGAAGATTGCCTGTGAAGATGTCAAGTTTGATTTAGAAAACTTCATGTGTTCGACGGTGCGTGTAACAATGAATTATGAGGTGTATATAAATCATCGATAGCGCTGTAATTTGAGTGTAATTGATAGAATGCTCGTAACCAAGCTGTTAATAAATCCAATCATCCGAACTAGAACCCGTCATTTCGTCACGCGTACCTCCTACATGTGTTCTATGAAGTAAGGGCTTGTATGTTAGTGAATACGTCATAGGTATTTCAGAGAAATATTACTCTTTTTCCCTGAAAATGGAAAAAGCATATTCGTTTGAAACATTTGTACCTAGCCACCAAACTACGCATCGCCATATCTCAAAAAGGTAGTTATCTTCATAGCGCCGCTGAGAAAACCTTCAAACCTCACGAGTTTTCATTTGTTTATCTGCAAAACCAGATTTCGCCCCTGTCGTATTTATGACCAGCCAGACAAGTGCCGCTCCTGTTTAATGACTGACAGAGGCATCTACAGCGGTAAGTTGGCAACAGATACACATGCTGCCCCCACCGTGAAGAAATTATGGGGCACTAAAGCCACCAGAGACTGGTCCCTGCACTCGTTACCCCGAAATTAAATGTGAAACAGCCCTCAAACACACGTCGTACATGGAAACGGTCGTTTTTATATTTCGTGGCGAAACTTTAATTCAGTTTCTGACGTTTGGGCTTGTAGCAGGGTGGGAATGGAGTTCGTAAATCCGCAAGTATTTTTAGTGGCTCTCCGGTGCGTTATCAAAACTTTGGTCAGGAGATGGTATAGGGACGGGCTATCATCATTTGGTCACGTTTACTACCTATGATGGTACATGCGTGCTATTTTAATTATGGAAACAGGGATGTAGATGCTACAGTATGAACACGAACACATGGCACCCCTTTGTTCGAGCTTCCTTTTGATTTTCCAATTTGGTGCAAATGTCTAACAATTGTCCATGTTACGTGGGTCCCTTGTCGCCACAGCATGGCGCGTCCTCAAGTTGCGGATGGAGGGTAACTGCGAATATATCAAACAAGAAGTCGAGGACAGCCGACAAGGGGTGGTCCTCCAGCTTGGGGGTTGGGCATGGGGCTAACAACTCCTCACGGTAAAAAATAAGCTTGTTACGAAAAAATGCAAGAAGAAAAAGTGGCAGGAGGTTGCAGAAAAC